ATCGCCTGAGCTCATGAGTTGGAGACCTGCCTGAGTTAGAGCGAGACCCCGCCTCCAAAAAAGAGAAAAAATAGCTGGGCGTTGTGGTGGGCACCTGTAATCCCAACTACTCAAACCCAAGAGTTTGAGGTTACTGTGAGCTGTGATGTAAGAGAGCTCTATGGGAGGGTGGGGAACAAAGTGAGACTGTCTCAAAAAAAAAAGTCATAAAGAATTTTGTAACTGATGTCATCTTTTCTTTAAGTAGGCCTGTTTAAATTGTAAGCACCATAAAACCAAAGTTCATATCCAGTGTAGTTTTATTTCTCTTCACTGTTCTTTTTGTTTTTTGAGTCAGCCTTACTCTGTTGCCCTGAGTAGAGTGCTGTGGCATCATAGCTCACAGTAACCTCAAACTCCTGAGCTAAAGTAATCCTCCTGCTTCACCCTCCCAAGTAGCAACACAACTAATTTTTCAGTTGGTTTCTTTTTTCTTTTTGCAGTTTCTTTTGCAGGGCTGGGTTTGAACCTGCCACCTCCGGCATATGGGGCCAGCGCCCTACTCCTTTGACCCACAGGGGCCGCCCTAATTTTTCTGTTTTTAGTAGAGACTGAGATCTCACTTTTGCTCAGGCTGGTCTTAAATTCCTGAGCTCAAGAGACCCTCCCACCTCAGCCTCCCAGAGTACTAGGGTTACCCATGTGAGTCACCTCGCCTGGCCACACTGTTTTTTAGAAATTAACAAACATTAGAGGTTGTTTATCAGAATAGAAAATGTTTTCTCTACTGTGATCTTTGTTTTAGAAATTCTATGTTAACCTTTTAGGCTAAAAAAAAAACTTCAATAAATCAGTCCCCTAACTTCCTACCCTCTATGGAAATCCATACCTTAATTTAAAAAAGGAAAAAAGCTGGCTCGGCGCCTGTGGCTCAACCGGCTAAGGCGCCAGCCACGTACACCTAGGGTGGCGGGTTCGAATCCCCAGCCCGGACCCGCCAAACAACAATGATGGCTGCAACCAAAAAATGGCCGGGCGTTGTGGCGGGCGCCTGTG